GTCCACGCATCCGTCTGTCTGTCCGCTCCTGCCCGTCCATCCGCCCGTCCCGGTGCCCCGGTGATCAGCGGTGCCGTGTCCCCCCCGCAGGTCGGGCTGGGGGCCGCAGGGGGGGCCCCAGGCCCGGCTCAGCCCCCGCAGTTGGGACCCCCCGTTCTGGACGATGGCGACCCCGCAACGCTTCGGCCGCCGCCGCTGAGCGTCCGAGTCCGGCCTGGAGCGCATCCCGAGCCCGTCCGTGYGTCTGTCCRTCCCCAATAAATAAAGTGCTGCCCCCTCCCCTGAGCCCTCGCTGTTCCTGTGCCCCGGGGGTGGGGGGATGARGGTCCCACCTCCTCTCTGCTCTCCAAGCCCCCAGCCCCAAGCAGACCCGACACGGGCAGTACAAACCCCCCCAGCTTTATTCCTGGGGGGCGATGGCACCCGGGGACCCTCCGGCACGGGATGGGGGCCACACCGGAGGGAGAGCCCGGGCCCTGAGGTCCGTCTGTCCGTCTGTCCATCCAGCCRGGGCGGGCTCGGGCCGTGCCCAGAGGGTCAGCGAGCCCCGCGGGCCGGCCCGTGGCGATCACTTGCCCCCGGCCATGATGCGCAGGTACTGCAGGGCGTTGCGGGCGGCCTGGGCGCGGGCGCCGTCGCGGGACGGGGCGGCTCCGTGGCACACCGTGGTCGGCTGCGTGGACAGCTCCACCAGGCACTGGTGCAGCCCGCTGAGGCTCAGGGCGTCTGCGGGGCACGGCGCGGTCACCCCACGGCCCGGGGGCTGCCGGGGGCCCGCGGGGAGCCGGGGAAGGGCCGGGGGACCGGCGGAGCTCACCGATGTCGAGGTAGCTGATGGCGAAGCTCTGCTCCTCCGAGAGCTCCTGCARGAGGGCGCAGGCCCCGCCGGGCGCGGGGGCTCCTCCCCGGCTCCGTAACTGGCCCAGCTTCTCGCCCGCCGAGTTGCGCAACGAGTCCCAGGTGCAGCCGGGGGCGCGGCCCCGCAGCCCCTCCAGCCGCGGGCAGGCCTGGGGAGGGGGCACGGGGGGCTGGGGACCGGCCCGACCATTCCGGGACTCACCCGAGCCCTCCGGTACCGCCCCGAGCCCCTCTGGTACC